ACCGTCTACGGATCTTGAAGCCAATTATAACTTTAAACTAAAAAAAATTTGACTTCTCAACATCCTTATAAGCGTGTCCCCTTCTCTATCTATGTTGGTTTAGACAGTTGAGTTGTATCATTATTTCCCTTGAAGAGTTGTACATATCTGAGTGCCAATATTTGTAGAACAGAGACATAGTCACAACTTGTCTAACATAGCAACGCGTTGGAGCTTGTTTGTCGGCTAATTTTCAAACAATCAGCGGTGGCAGATGAGCTGGGGAATTTGGAGAATACTCCTATGTAAATCTTGTATATACACTGATATTTCATTACTGACCATTTGCCTCGCAATATATTTATATTTTGATTTTAGAACTAGCTGAGCGAAATAAAATGTTCAAGTTCACTAGGCAGTAGAAAAATACTAGAGCGAATAAGAAGAATTAAAGTTGATTTCACAAATTAGCACTTGGATACATAGTTCTAAGTATCATTCTGAATTTAATAAGGCCAAAATTCGTTCTTCACAGAATTAAAGCTATCAACTTTTGTGCTGCAGATAACTAAGCAAAGGTAATTACTACTGCTGTGGTACGCTCCAAAGACTATCGCATAAGTCGTCTTAGTATGTAGAAAACTGATTAGCACTGTAGAATTTAAGGCAAATCGTTCTTTATTATATTCTCCCAGAGTTTAGACATTACTAATTACAAATATTCTCTTCAAATGATCTTACCCATGCTTACTTGGTATATTTACCACTGACGATTGTCATTCTATTATTTCATATATTCAGAAGGGGTTTTGTGTTGATTTCTGTATTTTCATAGTTAGTAGGTCCTGGGTTCGAATCTCGCGGGGCCGGATCGTGAATGCGCACTGCTGAGAAGTCCCACAATAAGACGAAACGGCCATCCAGTGCTTCCAGATTTTCCATGATGGTCTAGCTTCAATTGATTTATGATTTTAACTATTCCATATATCTCATACTTCAATATGAATACGATTGTAAGTAGCGGAATGGAAATCTTGGATTAAACTGAGTTTTCATTATTCAGCCTCAATTATTGCTTTGTGTTTACTCAAATCCATCAAAATGAATGAATTGAATGGAATTCTAAATACAATCGTTTCTTTTAGCTAAATTGTAATTAAGTTCTAAAAGAATCCTCTTCCTAAAAGTTCGCTTTACTTCTTCAAATAGAATAGATGAACGTAAGCAAGTTGATGTTCATTTCCTTCAACAACATAATCATGGTTTTAAACTCCTCAGCTGTGTGCACCCGAAAAATTCTAGGAAGAGATTTGTTATTGATAAGTCTTTTTAATTGAACTCTATACTCGGATCTTAAGCTAGTCTCGTAACCCCCAAGCTAGAATTACACAGCAACTTGAACATGAGAGAAAAGGCGCAAGATATGTGAGAAGCATTTTACTCCAAAGGTTCATTTATGTACAAAAAATATGGGGTTTTTATAGTATTTTAGAAGTCCTTGGGTTTTCCTGAAAATTCTGGAATACTACTAAACATAGAAGCAGCGTAGTAATCAGTCAATGAGAAACTCTATATGTGACTTTTCACTTTTGTGATGTTTCTAGCAAAGCTTCTAGTCAAACGCTGATTGGATAAAGTGCTTCTTAATGTTTCCTGTGCTTGTCATGTCTATTGTGAGAAATTTTCAGAATCGCTCCAACAGTTATCTTTTGAGTGATGTCTTTCATACCACATTAATCAGTTAGAATTGTATTTCTGAACAAAGGAATAGTAACTATTAAACCATTATTAGTCCCAAATAGGACGAAACGCGCGTCCTGGATTCCACTGCTAGCCACTACCCATTTCTGCTTACAATGCTTGTGAATTAAGGTTATATCGAGGCAATGCGCACAGTATGCACATATGCCAATTAGAGACTGACCAGTTGCAGTCCTAACACACTGATGGAAAGATTCAAACAAACAATACTAAGTAAATATTATTTTTAGTTTAAGGTAAAGTTGCAGCTTGAAACTGTTCTACTGAAACAGCTCATTTCAAAGTTTACATTTTACTATCAGTAAGTAAATGTCACATTCATCGTTTGTAAATACAGTACCGAACAACTAGAGGCTTTCAGGTAATTCGACAAGGTAAATCCTGCCATTAAAATTCACATGAGAAGAGTAATTTCAAATTAGGGTAGTCTTTTTAGATGTTCTACCAATAAAAGAAGCATATAGATCAGTTAGAAGGAATAAAATTAAGCACTTCAAAAGGTCAATATTCCCATTCCCTCATCTTTCTACCTCTGCAGAACAAAATAAACTTGATTAAAACACCTAGTTAAAGAATAATAATCAAGTGATTTAATGAAATGATCTATGGAAAACTGGATGCCTTGCATACTGTCGATGAAAATAGGAAGTTTGTAAACGAAAATCAGAATAGATGCTTAAGTTATGACTAAAAAATCTCCGTTTATGCGTTGTTATTTCATAGATGATGTGCCCAACAGGATGTCAATGCAGGGATTGAACGAAACACTTCAAAACGTGCTATAGAACCATGAATATTATTATCATAAAGACAACTCGACCGTTGCTGCTACCTTGACGTGGTGGTCGGGCTTGCCTATCGTGATGAACCAATCGAGCTATACTGGTTGGAACAATCGTTTCTCAAGGTCATACTGTGGTGTGGTCTACTTATATCCATATAAGTAGTATATGGTGTTGGTCAGACATAGAATGTATTTTCGTAGAAGACCGGTGAGGAAAGAACTGAAACGAAGCGCGATCGTAATGAAAATGGACGAACAATGGAATTAGAGAAGAAACAGTGAACATCGAGACTATTGGTTGTCAATTTGCAAATTGACTGTTCATTGTATGGTTGTCAGAATTTACTTTAGATAGTCTGTAATGTTTGCTTAAATACTATCGATTGTCCCCAACCAGTCGTGTTCTGTTCACTACACTACCATGCCAGACAGGTCGGTTGAAGAGCGGTTAGACTAAAAGCAGCAAACCCAAGGTCCGAAGGCGAGGTCGTACTGCTGACTGTATAGAGGTTATAGTGACATTTATGTCTAGTGATTATTTTTTGTATATTTGTAATGTTTTCATCCGAGTCTGAAGACATCAGCCAGGACAACGACCGAACAGAGTTACACGCTTTAAACGTAATAAATGTACCTCTATTCAGTAGAGTAAACCCTCGTATATGGTTTGCACAGGTGGAAGTGCAGTTTCAGCGTCGTAACATTCGTTCACAACAATCGAAATACTCCTTTGTGCTTGGAATTCTACCAACTGAGGTAGCATCTGAGGTATCAGACCTCATAGACAACGTCCCTGTATCAAATGCCTACGACCAGTTGAAGCAGGCTATTATTCAACGTACCTCACTCTCGGATGAAAAGAAGCTACAACAATTGCTACATGAGTGCGAGCTAGGTGACAAGTCACCTTCCCAATTATTACGCCACATGAGGCAGTTGGCTGAACCTTTTAAGGTTGGTGATATATTTCTGAGAGAAATTTGGCTACAACGTTTACCAACAGTAGTCCGGCAAATTCTCTGCGCTTCTAACCAATCTTTAGACTTAGAGGTTCTAGCTAGCATGGCTGACAAAGTTCTAGAAGTAACGCCAGGCACAACACCCTACGTGCAGGCGATATCACAAACTTCGAGTGACACTAAAACTCCGAACATAGCTTCCTTAACAGCTGAATTAAGTGATTTACGTACACAGCACGCACGCACAGTCGCCAGTCTTGAAAACAAGCTAGATACATTACAATCAATTATTTCCAATCTCACATCTCGAAAGTCTCGCTCTAGTTTTCAGGGGACCAAGAACCGAGATAACTCAAGAACAAAGAAAAATGATAACATCTGTTGGTACCATAGAAAGTATGGTGACAAAGCTAGAAAGTGTGTTACGTCCTGTAAATTTTTCAGGTCATTTTCCTCGCCAAAAGATGTCAACCAGGCAGTAGTACCGACAAATGTTACAGGTCATGCTACTAGTCACCTTTTCCACGTTCTCGACAAAACTTCAGGCTACAAATTCTTAGTAGACACTGGAGCCGAAGTCAGTGTTATCCCAGTTACGCTAGCCAAGAAACCTATTTCTAAATGTGAAAAATATTCATTGAGAGCAGCTAATAAAACTGAAATAAAAACATTTGGAGAACAACTCTTGACATTAGATTTGGGAATTAGACGTCGACTAAACTGGGTGTTTATTATTGCTGATGTCCGTCACCCTATATTAGGTGCAGACTTTTTAAGCTCCTATAACTTATTAGTCGATGTTAAAAAACGAAAACTTATCGATTCGTGCACAAAACTCCAAGTTCATGGAATTCAGTCACACTATCATATACATAGTATTAAAGTCAACACTCCAGTAAACGACATATTCGCCAATATTTTATCTAAATTTCCAAAGTTAACGAAACCAGATTACAGTGAAAACACCATCCAGCATTCTGTGGTGTATCGAATTATCACCAAAAACCAACCAGTTTCGGCACGTCCTCGTCGTTTACCACCGGACAAACTTGCAGTTGCAAAGGCCGAATTTGAGCACATGATGCGACTAGGAATAATACGTCCGTCGAGTAGCTCCTGGGCATCCCCACTCCACATGGTACCTAAGAGGGATCAGGATTGGCGACCTTGTGGTGATTATCGATCACTGAATAACTTAACTTTACCAGATCGTTACCCCATTCCCCATTTACACGATTTTTTACTTACGTTACACGGTAAACAAATTTTTTCTAAAATCGACCTTGTGCGAGCGTACCATCAAATTCCAGTAGCATCTGAAGATGTAGCGAAAACAACCATCATTACCCCATTTGGTTTGTTTGAATTTCTGAGAATGCCATTTGGATTAAAGAACGCCGCACAGACTTTTCAACGATTTATGGATGAAGTCACTAAAGGCCTAGATTTTGTTTTCGTGTATATCGACGATGTATTAATAGCCAGTAGTTCATTTCACGAACATATTGATCACCTATATCAACTTTTCGAAAGATTTCAGAGATTCGGTATAGTCATTAACCCATCCAAATGCATTTTCGGAGTCGAAGGCTTAGAATTTTTGGGTCACTCGATTGACAAACATGGTATCAAACCCTTAGACGCAAAAATTGAAGCTATCAAAAATTTTCCAGAGCCAGACTCACTAAATAAACTTCGACGTTTCTTGGGTATGTTTAATTTTTATCGTCGGTTTATCCCTCACTGCTCAGATATTCTACAACCCCTAACGGAGGCATTAAAAGGCAAAGCCAAAAAGTTCACATTATCCTCCGAAGCGAAAGATGCCTTTACTGCTGCTAAAACAGCGATTGCTTCTACCACCATGCTGACCTACCTCAGTCCTGATCCAGAAGCAACACTAATTTTGTGTACAGACGCTTCTCAGGCAGCGGTAGGCGCGGTGCTGCAACAAAGAGTAAATAATGAAGTCAAGCCACTTGCTTTCTTTTCAAAGAAGCTAGAACCGGCCCAAACCCGATACAGCACGTTTGGCAGAGAATTATTAGCTGTTTATCTAGCAGTTAAACATTTTAAACACTTACTACAAGGTAGAGATTTCGTAATCTTCACTGATCACAAACCTTTGACTTACGCTTTCAATGCCAAAAGTGATCGTTATTCTCCTAGAGAAACTCGACAGTTAGATTACATTTCTCAATTTTCTACCAACATACAGTTCATAAAAGGTGAGTCAAATGTTGTGGCAGATACTTTGTCACGTTTCGACGTTGATGCTATTTGCTCCACTAAAGGAATTGATTTGTTGGACATTGCACGCTTACAGGTTGATGATCCTGATCTTGCGGCTTGTAAACAAAATTCGAGTCTAGTATTAAAAAGTATTCCAATAGCACATTCTGATTCTACTATAATTTGTGATACTTCAACTGGAATACCCAGGCCATTTGTGCCAATAGCGTACAGAAAAAAAGTTTTTGATTGTCTTCATTCATTATCTCACCCAGGAGTTCGAGCTACTGCGAGACTGATCGGAGAAAGATTTGTCTGGCCAAAAATGAACTCAAACATAAAGGAATGGACCAGAAATTGTTTACAATGCCAGCGTAGCAAAGTTCACAGACATACGATTACAGCACCGTCAACATTCAATCTACCTGACCATCGTTTTCAGCATGTTCACGTTGATTTAGTTGGTCCTTTACCCCCATCTAACGGATTTACTTACATCTTTACTGCAGTGGACCGTTTTACCAGATGGCCAATAGCATGTCCAATAAAAGATATCTCAGCAGAAAATATTGCTGCCGTGTTTCTTGACAGATGGATTTCTAATTTCGGTGTACCTTCTACCGTTACTTCCGACAGAGGTTCACAATTCCAATCGCACCTCTTCAACGAATTTACGCGCATTTTGGGAATCCATCACATCACTACAACTGCATACCATCCAGCAGCAAATGGACTAGTGGAACGATTCCACAGACAACTTAAAAGCTCATTGATGGTACAGCCTGATGTAACTAGATGGATTGAATTCCTACCTCTCATATTATTGAGCATACGCTCGACAATTAAGGAAGACCTTCAATGTACACCTCCGCAGCTAGTTTATGGAACTAATTTAACCTTACCTGGTCAACTAGTCACGCATAAAGGCACATCGGTATGTACAGACCCCTCCTCCATTTGCGAATGACTAATGAGGCGCATGAATAGCATTATGCCTGTTACACCTCGACCAGTTGTTTTAAAAGAGCAAATTAGCAAGCACCTAAACACATATAAATTTGTGTTTGTCCGTGTCGACTCAGTAAGACGTCCTTTACAACACCCTTATGAAGTAGTAGACAGGCAAGCAAAATATTTCACAATCAAGAAGAATGGAAAAAAGGAAACAGTTTCAATGGACAGGTTAAAACCAGCCTTCATAGAGTCTGAAACACACGACAGTCGAAAACCGTCTAAAGACAACACCAATTTCACAACACAGTTTCCTGCGTTTCCGGCAAATTCTTCACCTACTTCTGTGAAATTGACAACTCATACAACATTTGATGCTAATGTTTCAGCTCCTGAAAACTTGATTCCTAATTCCACCACTATTTTACCTATTTTAAAAACTATTCGTACAGGAAGACAGGTACATATTCCTAAACGTTATGTTGAATTCATTACTTAATCTTCATTTGGTCATATTTTGTATTGTGAGTAAATACCTATATGCTAAGAGTTACTCATGACATGTTTTTAACTATAAGTGTATGCGTTTTTACATGATGCTCATTATTAACTGTAACGATACCCAACTTCGTTGTATTTGTTCATCATTTTATAATTGATCGTTTACATTGATATATACAGATATTAAAAAATTTTCCCGTAATATATCAATTTAATTAACGTTATTATTAATAACACTATTATTTTTATTATACGTTCAATTATTTTTGTTAAATTTTCTATATTCATTGAAAATAGTAAACACAAATTTTTTTTTAACCATACAAAAGCATTTTGATTCATAAGTATATATACTTTTTTAAAAATTTTTTTCATAACCTTTATTTATTCTTTCCTTTGTTGCGTGCGCACGACCCCTTGTTCCATTATAGACCCACCGCTGGAATAAATTTTCTTATTGACTGAATTTTCGGGAACCGATCTACCAGGATATTCATTTATCGACTTAGAATACGCATATGACATAGTCCTGTTTGGTGAAGACGCTGATGAGAAGCTTTGGTAGCAGCAAACATTAGTACCAGGATGTTTGGGATGCGTTTCTTCCTGTGAATACAAATTGTTGCTTCAGGACTGGCCTGTATCAACTTCTAAATTATGTATAGGTAGTGAATTAATCAACTCCGTCTGTAGCTCTTCTAGAGTTACTGCCGGTCCCAAGCCCGGGTAAAGGAGGAGGGTTGGTAAGTAAGTAAGTAAGTGAATTAATCGGATTCGTCGACAACCTTACTTATGTCGGAAGTATAGTGACATTTATATCTAGTGATTTTTTGTTACAACAAATTAAAGGTCACATAATTTTCCTAGTTGTCACACTTTTTATGTAACCATACTTATATTCGATATCTATTGTTCTTCTGTGTCAATGGTAAAGAAACGAATACTTTTGTTTGGATATATATAACACAACTTAACTACCGCGCTTCTTAAAAATATAAGCGTTGTATCCGCCGTCTATTCTTCTGCTTTAAGGGCCACGGCCTTTGATTGAAGATTATAATAGTATTATAACATCTTTTTAGACCATTCCACACTACGTTGGTGTTTTGGCCCGGATCATTACTGAATAATACTACTGGATCTAATCTTCTCCATTTTGCTGTTGGTGCCATCACGTGCAGAGGAATCTTTGTTAACCAAGTGAACTTATTTGTGGTTGTTATCTCAGAAAGCAGCTTACAAGTAACATATATTTCATAACACTGTTACCATTTTGTTTGCTTAATATACCTTTTTATAATTTAACTGTAATCTGTTACCTTTTGCGTTAATCATAGACACACGCTTAGGTTCGTAGTGTTAATTCTTTTGGTATATTGTTGGTAACGTTGCGAATTGTTATATTTCAACTAAGCTCTTTTGCTGAGGTCCACCACAAGGTGTGACAGCAGTAAGGTGTTTCCTTCAGACAACCAGCATAAGGGTAATGCTGCCTTTCCACAAAAAGGGGTGGAGTTGGAAAATGCACACCTCGCCTTATCCCACGGATATCCGTCTCTGGCGTTAAGGTCCTTTAAAGAACTGAGCTAACACAAAAACTACTCACAAAAAGGTCGTGTGTGACCGACCTCAAGTAGTTGTCCCTTGGGCACTGCGGTTACGCTCCCAGGTCGTTAAGACCAACACTAATCCATCTTCTTTTTCAGGTCCCTGAAGAAATACCCTTCCACGGTGTCAGCAACCGAGAAGTGATATTAGCTCCCATACCCGCGACTGCACACGAGGCCAAGTCGGTCACTTTCAAATCCATCAAATCATAAACATAAACTTCACGGAAAATCAAAAACAACATGTAAACAGTTTCCCCAGTCTACTATCAATTCACATATATGAACACACATACGAATAGGCTGACTAATCATGACTTACAAGTAAATGTGAATGCATGGTTAATGAAATAACCTGAGAAATCTATGATAAATTCTGAAAATCATTGTACTTACGAAAATTTTATTTACTTGATATCTTGACGAAATAATATTTACAAACTTATACTACTGAATTACTTTAATAAGTAGCAAAAAACTGTTATGTAAGTTTCTGAATGAAAAATATATCGAAACTTTTTTTTCAAAAATAAAAGAAAGTAGTAATAGGCACTTTTTAATCAGTTCCTTTTGAAACAACAACAAAGACAATTGGCAAGACATTTACATAATCCAAAGACACAACTTAGTATCCATATCAGGATTAACACTCCAATAACAACACATACAGTAATGGTGATTGGTTTCCAACTATTGTAAAGAAGAAAAAAACAATTGAAGTTAAAAAGGATATGCTTATAATTAAAAAAAACCCATTGAACTATTAACAATTAGACATAAAACTATACTTGTACTGTTGACAAATTATATCTTTAAGGCCCAGGACAGAGTGGGTTAGAGAATGCTAGTCGGCGGCCTATGCTCCATTGAGAGTAACAGGCTTAAGTAAGTAAGTAAGAATTAAATCTTTATAGTTCTAGATAAACTATTGATCAAATTAAATTGATGAATTTCTGCTGACTGATTAGTTTCATGGGAATTATCAATAAAAATTAGATAACGATGGATAGTGGCTAGCAGTGGAATCCAGTTTGACGCGCGTTTCGTGCTATTTGGGACTCGTCAGGTGGATGTACCTGCATCTCAGAGTTGATGTTCACTCTGAGATTCGAACCCAGTACCTTTCACTTCTAAAGCCATCGCGTTATCCAGTGGGATTCGCATCCCAGAGTGAACATCAACTCTGAGATGCAGGTGCATCCAGCTGATGAGTTCCAAATAGGACGAAATGCGCGTCAAACTGGATTCCACTGCTAGCCACTATCCATCTTTGCTTACCATGCTTGTGAACTTAGGCTATATCGAGGCAATACGCACAGTATGCACATATGCCAATTAGAGACTGACCAGTTGCAGTCCTAACACATCAATGGGAAGATTCAAATAAACAATACTAAGTGAATTTAAGAATAGATGAATCTGTTTTATTATTAGTATAATCAACTTTAATATAACGGGATAAAAAAGTCAAAATTAGATTGATTTATTCGTTATGATTTTCAATATGAGATAATTATCCAATGTTATATTTGTTTCTATTTCCCAAAGTAATATGTTTATTCTATATAGCGCTCCCAAATGCCCAGGTACGACCGAGAGTGGGGAGGAGCCACCCTACCTCTCGAAATGCTCTCATATGGCCACGCGTATATAGCCTCTCCCACGGAAGTCCTACTCACTGCCTTCTCGTGGCACCGGTGTTGTTTACGAAATTAAGAGGACGAAAACCGAATGTCCGGTGCTTCAACCGGGTTGGTGAAAACGGAGAGTCTACCTAGGGGAGTCAAAAAATCCTGATTCCAAACCAATGCTCCACATGGGCTCCAGTATCCTGTGGGAACAAATGCGTATGAACCAATCGTTGGTCACCGTTTACCATGGGACTACATTTCCTCACGATGCTCCACTGCCTTGTGGATCAGACCTTGAGGTCAAAGGCTCCGGGTGTGGTCCCCTAAGAAAACCACCTGTTTCGGTTTGGGCACTTGAGCAGTATCACAGCCCTCACGCAAATCAAATGAGATTAGTGACGACCAGATATAACAAAGTAGCATTCAGTCTAGAAGACTTATATCAGACTTCATAATTTCTAACAAATTAATCAGACTTTTCAATTAACATACTATTAGCAGTTATTGAATAACAAGAAATGAGATATTTACCAATTTTGATTTTTTTCTTTTGAATTATTTTGAAAAACATTCTTAATCGTAAAGTATTGTCAGTATGGAAAGCAAATTCACTTTGAGAAGATCAGATGGTATCACATGACCCTTTTATAAATAATGTTGCACAATGTGGGCTTCGTATGATTAAATAATTCTTGGTAGGTTTGAGTGATCATATGGTCATTAGTTTATTGAACTCGATTACAAATTCAATAAACAAGTATCATCATTTTTAAGCTGAGACAAAATGGTGGTTAGGAGTTGAATCCAGAATACACGTTTCGTTCTTATCTGTGACTCGTCACCAGGCGAACGACATTTGGTTCATTTATCGAAGTGAATATCAACTCTGAGATGCGGGAACATCCAGCTGACGAGTCCTAAATAGAACGGAAAGCGTTTACTGGATTCCACTGCTAACCACTATTTATTTTTGCTCGTAATAAATGCTGTCAGTTATTTCCAAAAAGTATATTCATTAAATACTATACTAGTTAAAATTCCCCTAGTCAGTTTAGTTAATGGCGTCCTAACAGATAAAAGTCTATCATACTTAAAGAAATGGAGCATAAAGTGAATTATTATTATTATTCAATGATTGACTTAAATGTGAACAAATTTAATGCAATTGATTGACAAGTTTATATTAGCACAAATTTCCTTTGGAGAATAGTCAATATTTTGTTTCCATGAATAAGAAATTCCAACTAGTGACTAGCTTCAAGAGGTAATTCCTGGAGTTCTAGTGAGAAGCAGTGACCAGTGGAGTTCAAACCAGGTCTGTTGTGAGATAGGAACCCATTGAAGACAACTGGTGAACAGTTGCTCAACTTCGTGGATTGGTTGAATTTAGACATAAACACCGTTGAATGCCGACTTAATGGTCTATTCGTTAAGTGTTCTGGCACGAGACTGGTAGGTCCTGGGTTCGAATCTGGCTCGCGAGTTAGGAATCGTGGATGCGCCCTGGTGAGGAGTCTGACAATAGGACGAAACGGCCGTCCAGTGCTTCCAGGTTTTCCTTGTTGGTCTACCTTCAATTGACTCATGCTTTCAACTATGAAAATAAACCCTTTCATCAAATAGTTTAGATGATAGTGAAATTTGATAATTCTCAATAGCTTGACTCTCAAAATGAAGTAAAATGTTTGGAAGATAAACTCATTGTTAAAACTACATACTTTATCTTAGAAAAAAATGTGAACTGAAATCATGAAAATTTCAAAGTTTATTAGTCGATTCCTCTCGAAACTGTCGATCATCTATGGTGATCTATTTGTCCGGTCTTAGTTTTTATTATTTGAAACTTCTTTGTCTGTTGTCCGAAGTCATACTCTCTAGTCATTTTATAGATTTAGGTATTATTGTCCTCGAACAGATATACTAGTAAGTGTTTTTTTAGCTAGTTAGTTTTTTACGGGATGAGATCGCTCACCGCATGTCCAACCCTCCTCCTTTACCCGGGTTTGGGACTGGCAGTAACTCTAGAAGAGCTACAGGCGGATACTATCAGCAACAGCGTTTTATGGGAGAGGATAAACCAGTTTCCAACTGAAGAGGAAATTAGGAAAGGTCGTTGGAATTGGATAGGACATTCATTAAGGAAATCACTAATGTGCATTACAAGGTAATCCCTAACTTGGAATCGTGAAGGGAAGCGGAAAAGAGGAAGGGCAAAGAACACATTACGCCGGAAAATAGAAGCAGATATGAAAAGGATAGATGTTAACTGGAAAGGACTGGCAAGAATTGCCCAGGACAGGGTTGAATGGAGAATAATAGTGGGTGGCCTATACTCCTCAACGAGGGGTGACAGGCGTAAGTAAGTAAGTAAGTAAGAACAGATATACTATTGAGTCGAAATGGCTAGTTACACTACAAAAACGGAATACATTTACATGGTTTACATTTGATAGCTTTGAAAATTGATCTAACGTATGTAACCAGATCACTACTGAATGTCCATCCAGCTCGATATTTTGTAGCATAGTTTTTTTAAATTTCACTCTCTTCACAATGAAACAAACTATCCAAATAATAAAAAAGTCTATTATCGCTATAAACAATCCGGATGATTTCGTAAACTGTCTATGAAGTTTTAAGAAATATTTGGGTAGGATTAAACTATACTGCCGAGCCAATCAGAAGCCTTCGTGGGTTTTCAAGGTCACGGCGCTAGGTTCGGTACCTGATGCTTACGTACGATCGCTTTACAGCGGATTTTAGGGAAGACGTGATAATTCAGCGTCTACAAGAGAAGTGATCATAAGATTTTGGCCCATTTGGATAAATAGAGTTTTGGCATTATAGCTGATGTCAGTTCGTGATGAAAACCCTAAGTATAATTCAAAGCCTTAATCATGAATTGTAAATCATAATTTGAATTCTTCTTACAGGTTTATAACCCTAATTTGGTCTTAGTTATTACTTGACACTCTCAGCGTCACTCTAGCTCAAAGGTCATTCATAAATTATAGTCTCACCCTTAACCCGAAACCTTAACTCTAACCCTAAATCGTAAACCATACCAATATACTAACATTATTGAAGCTATGTGGTCGAGGCTAAAGGGATTTTTGAGACCTTATCATGGTTTCAGAGGTCGACTACTATGAAGCCATATGGATGTGCTCCTGTACCGTATGCACCATGATTTTAGAACTTCTGAACCTATATCTGACCTTCAGAAGTTTTTGAATCATGTAAAAGAAATGTTTCCACTTTAATTCTTTGGATTTGTATAATAAATTTTTACTGTATACAAACTATCTTCTGATTGGCTAATATTTCTCAAGGTCATTTAAGATTCGTTCAAAGGTCGGCAGTATGGTTTAATCCTACCAATATTTGATGTTCAATTGACCTACTTCCATCTATTCAGTAGATTCCATCTATTCAATAGATCACATGAGGAAATCGAGGTATGATTGTATTAACAAATTAACATCCACAGAATTGTACCTTTTCATAAAGATGTAACCTGTTCATGAATTTCATTGTGGAAATAACTTCAAATCCCACTGCTGAGGAGTTCCATAGTAGGATGAAACGGCCGTTCAGTGCTTCCAGCTTTTTCATGATGGTCTAGCTTCAATTGACTCATGATTTCAACTTCGAAAAACTCTCTACTTTATTGAATTTGATAGTGAAAAGATAGATTGAATGGTGGAGAATATTTTTAGCTCAGGTAGATGATTTCGATGGAGTTTTGTTCTCTGAGCTGGATGGTTTGATCGTGGGGCTTTCATCATTCTTCTGAGTGACATAATCAAATCCTACCTGAAGTTTGTGATGATGATATTGTTTAGAAGAATGATGAAAGCTCCAAGACCAAACCATCCAGTTTAAAGAACAAAATTCCATCAAGATAGATCCAATAGTTGTAGATTTTCAAGTTATGTTGCATAGGTTTTACTATTAGACGATTAACTTTTGAAGAAAGTTATAAAATGTAATTAATAATGAATGATGTGTACGTCTGATATGAACATTAACTTCATGCATACATTTTTAATCCGTCTTATCATCAGAAAGGAGGGTTTCGTGCAGATTGTACTAAGTTAATAGTTGAATTCGTGAGTTGATTTAAGCTAAACCACTATAAAAAACTTGGAAGTACTGGACGGCCATTTTGTCATATTATGGGACTCGTCAGTAGTGAATACCCATGATCTCGCTCATGGGATTCAAACTCACAACCTTCGTCCTTGATAGCGAAAGCTTAACCTGTAGATCCCTGAGCCGGCATTCAGCGGTGTTATTGTCTAACTTCAACCATTCCATCATATTGCGCAACCGTCCAACATTGTCTTCAGTGAGTAAATGCCTCACGACAGATACGATTGAACTTCACTGGTCATTGCTTTTGACTAAAACTTTAGGAAATAACTCTCGAGATCGAAGATCCTGGGTCCGAATCTTGCGAGCAGGATCATGAATGCTCACAACTGACGAGTTCCATAACAGGTTTACTATAGTAGTCTAGCTTAAATCGACTCATGAATTCAACTATTAAACTTACGGTTCTGATTATAATGAGATTCGTTAGTATCTTTTAGAAGTTCAGACGATGATCTTTTCAACCAAAATTGTTAACCAGATTTAAATAATTTAGTCTACACTCTAAATATATTTCTATAATGATAAAAGTATTACTTCCTCAAATTTGATAACAGTCCTGTAATCTGAATGTCATAGATTCTATCTCTAATCATAACCTAGATTCTGATTATTGAAAAGTTGTATACTAAGATGAAATAGAAATAGAACACTTTATAAATTCAAATCATAACTCACCGAACTTTCTTGCAACAATCATCTTGATAATGTGAGTTTTTGCAACAATAACGTTCATATAAGAAACTTTCTCCAACATCACAAGTCACACCTATTGAAATGAATAAAGTTTTCTTAAATTATTATTGAATCATTTATCTTAATGAAATCATTATTGAAATAGAATAAAGTAAAGAGAATATCAAACTTCGCCTAAAGCTCTTCTGGGGGCTACTGTCGGTCTCAAGCCCAGGTAAAGGAGGAGTGTTAGACATCGGGGTTAGCGACCCCATCCCGTAGAAAACCAACTCAGTAAAAAAACGTTAACCAGTAAAGAGAATATCAAGTTTTATAAATGTTTTCTAATAAGTTCATATTTAAAATTCTAATGCCATTTGTAGTTTTACATTACACATTGACTATAAATAGACTGTGGTGTGTGCTACTGATGTCGACAGATATAAGTAGTATGCGGCACCAATCGATAGTGAAATACCTGAAGGCAAAACCTTAAAAAGATCAAGAAGAAGAGAACGAGAACGGTGAATGTTTGCTGTGGAAATAAAGGAATATTGAAGTATGAGACTGTTGATTGATATTTGAAAGTTAAGTAATAACTGTGTGGTTCTCAGATTTTACTAAAAAAATTATATAGTTTTGTATTGTAATAATTATCAGGACTCAGTAGCTGAGTGGATAACGTGATGGCGTTTGAAGCGTAAAGTACTGGATTGAAATCCCAGAGTGAACATCAACTCTGAGATGCAGGTACATCCAGCTGACGAGTCCCAAATAGGACGACATGCGCGTCAAACTGGATTTCACTGCTAACCACTATTCATCTTTGCTTGTATAACTAACTTGCCTTAAAAATTGATTGATTGAGGATTATTAAATTAATTTTGATTCTTAGCAAATTCACTTCTTGTTAATTCGTAACATAAACAATTTACAAAGCAACTAGTGTAGTGAACAAGAACACGACTAGGGACAATCGAATGTATTTAAGCACAAATTACTGACTCTCTCACTAAATTCTGATAACCAGTCCGTCTTCTCTAATTCCATTGTTCATGCATTTTCCTACCAATGGCGGTTCATTTCAGTTCTTTCCTTATCGATCTTCTGCCAAAATACATTCAATATCTGACCATCGCCATATACTACTTATATGGATATAAGTAGACCACACTACACTAGCATCAACTACGAGAATCATTACAATGACTATCATTTTCACTTATACACCTAATAATACCGTATCCTTTAAACTATGCATGTTGAATGTCACTTAATAGTATGAAGACGATAGACCATGTTCAAGTAAAAATTGAGGATCATAGAAGCTCAAGAAGGAAATATTTTCAAATTTCTATAAACCTTAATTCACAAACCAATGAAATATGTGTTTAGATATCAATGGAATACTACATGAGAAATTAGAAGGAGAAGCTAAAAACTCAAACAAAAGTAAGAAAAGATGAATAGTGGTTAGCAGTGAAATCCAGTTTGACGCGCATTTCGTCCTATTTGGGACTCGTCAGCTGGATGTACCTGCATCTCAGAGTTGATGTTCACTCTGGTATTCGAACCCAGTACTTTTCGCTTTAAACGTCATCATGTTATCCACTTAGCTACTGAGTCCTGATAGCCACTTGCTTGTGCAATGGGGTGAAGTTTAAATTTACTTTAATATTGTTTGTTTGAATCTCCCAATTGATGTTTAAAGACTGACGAGTCGCCTCCTGAATATCAATGGGAAGATTCAAACAAACAACACTAAGTGAATTCAAACAATAGTGCTTTTGATAATAAATAATCACAAAAAGCTCTAAGCGTTCTCCCATTTCAAGTTGCTATGGCTGATTTTTATCTAGAAGAAGAAGAATGAGAACATCTGAAATGAATGATTCTGCTCAAGGTTACCGATTTTCCTTTATTACTGTAAGATTCGTTTTTATTCTTGTTCTAGATGCATGCGAATCCATTACTTTGAATTGTCCTGTGTTAACCTACTTAAAATGTGTGAAATTGTTTTTTTTTAATACATTTTTAAATATTTTCATGGTTGAAAACATGAGTCAATTGAAGCTAGACCACCAAGGAAAACCTGGAAGCACTGGATGGCCGTCTCATCCTATCGTGGGACTCCTCAGCAGTGCTCATCCACGATCTCGCATCTCGAGATTCGAACTCAGGACCTACCACTCTCGTGCCAGAGCACTTAACAGATAGATCATTGAGCCGGCATCCAATGGTGTTAATGTCTAACTTTTTTAAAAATATAACTGATCTTTATGTAGTGTTCTGTGAAAGTTTAGTGCCTGTAACTTATACATTTGATTCTCTGTACATATATATATATATATACTGGAAAGGTTTGTCCAGGACAGGGTTGGATGGAGAATGCTGGTGAGTGGCCTATGCTCCTCCACGAGGGGTAACAGGCGTAAGGAAGTAAGTATATATTGAAAAACATTTAAATCTGAAATAAAAAGAAATTCAATGAAGAAAGTTTTCTCTTCTTGATGAAACCATTTACTAAAACTATTTATCGTTTTATGGTTAATATATGAGTCTATTTTAGCATAGGAAAGATTGTATCATAAAGTGATCACTTTCTAAACACAACTCATAGCATTACCGTGCATGGCTTTTAAAAGAAGAGTACAAAACAGTTACCAGTTCAATAAAGGAGTATCTAATCAACTCTGGACATATAGCACTAAGGGAGTCTTCGTTTTAAACAATTCTTGACAATCAAATGGACTGGGTCGAACAGAAGCCAAATCAAAAGCTTATACATTGCTGAAGCATTAACAATCCATCTATTCATCCCAGAACTCTGTGTGTACAAAAGCGATATGTCCAACTTCTCATCCTTCATTCCCTTCTGTAGTATATTTTGGGTATCTTTTTTTTGTCATTTTAAATCGTAATGAATTATTATTATTATCCTTTAACAACATTTTTATGATTATGATTATGACCTATATGTTTTTTCTTTTTCTTCATATCTGTCAAGCGGACAATTATCTTTTATAATTTTGATCCATAAATTAGTTTCATCCCTCTTACTGCTCACCCAACTCCCGTGATTAATACGTAACCTCATTTGATAATTCGAGTCTTGTATCCTTTTATGATGAACTCTCTTCTATTTCTTCTATAGATTTAATATATGAACTATATAACTGTAAATAGGAATATACAGTTTAAGTGGATGATTTCGTTGTAACGAAGAAATTTTTTTTGCTGAATTGTTTCTATGTTTATTCAATGACACAAAGGGGTTATTTTAATTAAATCTGAAAGTTGTAAAATTATCTGTTACTAAGGTAGTAGTAGTAGTAGTAGTAGTAGAAGAAGAAGAAGAAGGAGGAGGAGGAGGAGGAGGAGGAGGAGGAGGATAAGAAGAAGACACACATTGTTTTGTATTCATCGTTATATGGTACTGACCTAGTAACTAGTAAAAAAATATTGGCTACAAAACACGAGTATCTTAGAGAAGAATTTGTAAATCGAAACCAACTGCAGTTTGTAAGCAAAGATGGATAGTGGCTAGTAGTGGAATCCAGTTTGACGCGCGCTTCGTCCTATTTGGGACTCGTCAACTAGATATACCTGCATCTTAGAGTTGGTGTTCACTCTGGGACTCGAACTCAGTACTATTCGCTTCAAACGCCATCGCGTTATCCACTCTACCACTGAGTCCTGATAGCCACTTGCTTGTGTGATGAGGTGAATTAAGGCTATATTGAGGCAATACGCACAGTATGCACATATGCCAATTAGAGACTGACCAGTTGCAATCCTAAGAACATCTATGGGAAGATTCAAACAATACTAAATGAATTCAACTGGAGTTTGTTTAAAATATACGTAGATATCAGTATTTAAAATATATATAAAAAAGAGAAACATAATTGGTGTTGTTAATATTAGTTAACTTCTATTTATGACCAATTCACTTATACTTACTTAAACTTATTAACCTAAGTTATGGAGGAACATAATGCACCACCCACCAACAGTCTCTATCTAACTCTGTCTTGGACAATTCTTTGCTATTCATGTTTGTCAAATCTGCTTCCAATTCTTGACTTATTGTGTCCTTCGGTCTTGCTCTTTTCCGTTTTCCTTCAGGGTTACAGGTTAGCGCTTGCTTCATGATGCAGTTTGATTTGATGGAATATGTCTCCTATCCACTTTCAAAGTCGTTTCCTAATTTCCTCTTCAAATGGAAGCTGGTTTGTTCACTTCCACAGTAAGCTATTGCTGATGGTATCCGACCAACGGATTCAATTCATTTATAATTATTGATTAATCTTCAAACTTACATCAAAACAGCATATGTAAGTAGAGATTGATTTTTTTAGTAGTAAGTCATATCTCGTCTAAGCAAAGAAAATTCTATAACTTTTGGATTGTTTTAAAGTTGTAGTGACCTGCTTTTCTCGATGAGAACGCGATTGGTATAATGGAAACAACTGTTATTATAAACAATTGTACCAGTGATTGTTTTACTGTACTCATTGTTGTTTAACTGTATCAAAATCACTTCTCGTTTCGCAGTCCATCTTGTTCGTTCGAACGTTCTTACTCTCTGCCCTTATCGCCTGTACTCGTTAGCACGTCTCGATATTTTTTCGATACCACGAGATCGCCAATAAATATACTTTATCTAGACTAATTACAGCTTTCCGGTTTACAAGCTATCAAAGGAACTAAGCCGAATTCGGGCGCGTAATCTTACTGTAGTGGTGATCATAGTCAATTGAGACTCGATGCCATCTACAAACTCATCAAATTTTTATTTTCGGTTAATTACTAATAGTCTATTACCAATAATTTGTTCAAAAAACATATAGTTATATGAAAATACAAGTCAATATTAAATTATAAGGTAAAATCTTTGGTAGTCATAAAGGAATCTCATTATAAGTAAAGATGAATGGTAACAAGCAGTGGAATTCAGGATGAGCGTTTCGTCCCATATGGGAATCATCAGCTCGATGTACCTACATTTCAAAGCTGATGTTGACTTAAAGTAATATCGAGGCAATTAGCACAGAATACATATATGTCAATACGAGACTGATCACTTACAGT